TCTTCATGGATTAACTCTAAAGATGAGGAAAATATGACTTGTCCAAGATCACCCATAGCTAAATAGTGACAAAAGCAAAATTAAAATTCAGTCTCCTGACTCCTAATTATGTCTGCTTTCCAAGAGGTCATCATTTATATAATAACTAAACAATGATAAACCTGCAGGAAAACAATACAATTTAGTAAACTTGGTTGTGTAGCCAGAGTCATACATAGATTTGACTAAAAAAAGTGACAGCTGGCACTGCAGGAATTGAGGAGATTGCTTAGGCACCACTTGCTCGCCATTGACTTCCTTCTCCATTGCATAGCCTCATTATACTCACACAGTGATAGTCTAGATCTTGTCATCCCCAGGAAGGGATGTGATCCACCTGAATAATGACTAATTCAAGCACCCTGTAACAATTCTTCAAACTCATCGCCTAAGAACCCTTTCTATTTTTTACAATTTATCAGCCTTCTATCTTCTTGATAGATAGATTAGATTCCATGCTTTTTAATTTTAAGTTTTTTTGCAAAAATATCAATATTAATTTCCTTGAATCTGTGATTGTTTTCATTGCACCCATAGCCTATAAAGACACATCTATCTACATTCTCCACACCTGCCTCCAAACTTCTAAGCATTTTGTGAAAGGTTATCCAACAAGGTGTATTCAACATAGTATAGATTTGTGATCACCAACTTAATGTGAACCCTCTACACTGCTCAGCAACCTTTCAAAGACCCTCTGTCAACTGGTTCTTCCATTGATAACTTCAAACCATTGCCACTATTGTCAAATCTCCCAATTTATTCTCAGCTCATATGATTGACAACCATGTTGCTTAGAAAGTGAAGCCCTTAAATGAGGCATCAGTTTCTCACTACCAAATATATAACTATACCTGAATACATCCACTAATACACGAGAGGAAATATTTCTCTTACTCTGAGGCCAATCCTTCCACCAGTGTTTCAGATCCTATCTTACCCAGTCTTCTTAGGCAACTTATACTTTCCATTATCCCTACTTGTTCTTTTTTTTTTTAAATTAATTATTTTATTTATTTATTTTTGCCTGTGTTGGGTCTTTGTTGCTGCGCACGGTCTTTCTCTAGTTGCGGCGAGTGGGGGCTACTCTTCATTGCGGTGCACGGGTTTCTCATTGCAGTGGCTTCTCTTGTTGCAGAGCACGAGCTCTAGGCACGCAGGCTTCAGTAGTTGTGGTGCATGGGCTCAGTAGTTGTGGAACACGGGCTTAGCTGTTCCTCTGCATGTGGGATTTTCCTGGACCAGGGCTCAAACTTGTATCCCCTGCATTGGCAGGTGGATTCTTAACCACTGTGCCAACAGGGAAGTCCCCTACTTGTTCTTTAATCTCATTAACTGGATCCTTTACAACATTATTTCAACAACCCCTTCAGCTCTTATACATTACTCTCCTTGAGAATCACATTTCTTAAAGAATTACATATACTCATCACCATTTCCTGAGTTTTCACTTTCTTCTCAACCCACTTCCGTTGGGCATCCAACCTCAACTGCTCTATTGAAACCCTTTTTTGGCAAGACCCCTAATGACTATCATGTACACAATTCAGTGCTTATTTTTTTAGACTTATTCTTTCTTGGATTCTCAATGGTATTTGAGATTGTTGTCCACTTCTTTTTTAAATGACTTGTTTTTATTCCCAGAACAAACACACTCTTTTTTTTTTTTTTCCTCTCCTCTTGTTGCTTTTTTTTATTCTTTTTTGGAGATCCCTTTTCCTCCATCTGGCCATTTAAAGTTAGGAGATCCTCAAGTCTTAGTCATAATTATTCTTTTCATACTATACTCTTTCTGCATGATTAAATCTACACTTTGTTTGGGCTTCAGTTACTCTTATGAAAAAATTAATCAAACATTTATATAGCCAAATTTATATTCAGTTGCCTACTTGATATTTCTACTTGTATCTTTCAGCAGCATCTCAGACTCAACAGAATCAAACCCAGGCTCATAATTTTAACCTCAGACATGGTTCTCTTCATTGTTTCTCATCTCAGTTCATGGCAACTTTATAATTAAAGAAGCTAACAAACAAACAAACAAAAAACAAACAACAAAATTATCAATGTAATGTAAAATACAAGTGAATTGTGTAAAATACACAATTCTGTTCATGGCACTTTCTGCTTAAGGTTGTTTCAGTTGCTTCTTCTTGAACACAGGACAAAGACCAGTATCTTAAAGGTAGCTTACAAGTTCTGAAATGATTTTGTTTCTGCCATTACTCTTATTAAATAAATACATATTTGTAGATTGAATCAATAAAAGAAAAAATAGGACCAGAAAGAGAGTACATGGTGAAAAATCAGGAAAGAAGGCATGGCAAAATGTCCCATGGTTATAGATGTCAATAACGGCACTGGGCTTCCCCGGTGGTGGAGTGGTTGAGGGTCTGCCTGCTAATGCAGGGGACAAGGGTTTGTGTCCCGGTCCAGGAAGATCCCACATGCTGCGGAGCGGCTGGGCCCGTGAGCCATGGCCACTGAGCCTGCACGTCCAGAGCCTGTGCTCCGCAACGGGAGAGGGCACAACAGTGAGAGGCCCGCGTACCACAAAAATAATAATAATAATAATAATAATAATAACGGCACTGAAAAACAGAGGGCATGACCAACATGTCATAGATTGGTCTAGGAGAAAGGATGCTGATTAAGGGAGTCCATTTGATCACTGAGAATCTTGGTCATTAGGGAAGAGTTAATGGGTGAAAATGAAATTTAGATTAGAAAGGTTTAATGAAAGACATGGAAAATAGGATTATAAAAGCTGAAAACATAGCCTACTAATCCGAGAAGTTTTGTGATAAAGTAAAAGAGAGAAAGGAGAAGAGTTGAAAAAACATCACAAGAAAGAAAACTTATTGTTAAACAAGAAAAAAAGAGTAAATACAGGGGAAAGGGAATGAAGATGTAAAACAGTGAAGGCTAAAGATCAGAGAACTTTCTTGATAAGGAAAATACACAGCTATTCTTCTGACAAGAGAAAAGCTACAAAAAGATGCATAAACAGAAAAGTTTGGTGATTAATTTTGTTCAAAAAGCACATGGAATAATTTGAATGCCTGTGATATTCTTTGTCAGTCAAAGGCAAGGTTATCTGCTTGATGAGTGGCAGCATCCAGGGCTTAAACAGTATTCAGTTATGGGAACTGATGTTATGGAGGCATCTGATAAAATCAACCCGAGATGAGAGGTAACATTCCAAGAATGTGCAGCACAATTAACCAATAATTGTCTCTTATTAATGTTTTTTTCATTAGTTAAAGTCATCATTTACTTGTGTTGCTTTATTTTTTTCCAGAAACAGAAGACAATGGATAAAAGAGAAGAACTATGGTTAGGAATCTATGTAGCAAAGATTGTAGGCTCTTTGGATGGACTCCATTGAATTGCTCTAGGAAAGCTCTGAATCAGTCTCACAAAATAATGGAAGGGCCATAGAGTCTCATGAAAGTGCATGGTGTTCCAAATGTGAAGTAGGGTTATAAAATGTTCTCTGAGAACCAATGAATTGCTATTAGACAGGCAGAAAAAAGATGGTAGATAGTGTGTCAGAAATAAACAGGAATACTTGACTGTGCCACCCTAACTTTCAAAGTGGTTCACTTTCAAAGTGGTTTCAAATACATGAAAAATGCCATATCTTAGTACTAACATAGGTTGTTAGCAGTAAGTACTACCTCTGATCACTACAAAATACAATGTTAGTGATGAATAAGGAGAATTCTCTCAAAATACAACTTTCTGCATCATGTGGTCTTTCATTCTAAACTAAAGAAAATAAATACATAAGATGTTTGATAAAACTGTGCATTCTATATTTATATTATTACTTATATACTACAGATATATAAAAATGATGTTGTGGTGAAACACTTTGACTTGACTATTAAGGAAAACAAAAAGCTTAAAATTTCATAATCTTTTTCACACTTAAATAGGCTCTTAATATATTATTTAAAGAGATTAATTAATGGAAATGATTCCCTTTGAAACACATCTTTTGAAGTGAGACTAAAGTAGTTCATATTTAGTAAAGTGATTAAAATTTATTCCATGCTGGTTTTCCAAAGGAGAATATTTTTTGGACCAACTTCCCAATTAAACCCTGAAGTGCATAGTGGGCAATTTATACATGAGAAAATGATTTTATTTAAAATATGAAAACTGCTATGCAGTTGTTGGCCTGTACAGTGACTGCACAGCCCTCAGTGGAGTGTCTGACAGACTGCAGACGTCTGGGCCACTGGTTTATTTAATCAGTTGATCACAGGCATGTGGTTCTAATGACAAGCTCAATGCAGCCAATTGTACTCTTCCAAGAAGCATAGCTTTACTTTTCTTTAAGAATTTTAATATTTCATATCATCTTAAACTACTTGTAAATGGCTCAATTTGGGGTCAATTATAATTACTCATTTATTTTTAAATGGCTTTTTATTCACTGAAAGATAGATGCATATAAATTATGCCTGAAAAAAATTTAATAATAAAAGACTATAGAGGAAATCATTGTTCAATTATGTTAGTACTAAAGTGGATGAATCCTTGTTAAAGAAAAATAAACTTAATTAAGTATATCAGTAGCAATATTTAATCCTTTTTTACAATTCTAACCTCTAAAACTGAATTAAGATATTATTTAAGGACTGGAATTTCTAGATTTAAGTTGCATAATGAAACAAAAGCAAGTTAATTTGAAAGAATTCAATTAAATTCAACTCAATTAAAATACCTGTATTAAGTAAAGCAACGTTTCATTAAAAGAATAAGGAAAACTCTTTTGATCTAATGCGTAGTTTCCTTAGTCAATAATTGTGAACTGAGATAAACACAGTCTTAAATATCACAGGTGAAGTTCAACCAGCCTTATATTTGACTATACAATTAGCTATGTATTTAGTCTTTAGTAAATGCTTTTGTTCACAGAACCCCAAATCATTTTAACCAATGTAAAAATAAACCTATAATAGCCTAGTGTAGACCAATGTTGGTCTAAAATGGAAGTATGATTTATTAATTATATAAAGTTCTTTTCAGCTAAGGCACTTGTCATCCTGTTTTATACATCTCTTACAGGTGCCTACCTCATAAAAATTTACCAAATTTGAAATATAATAAATAAGAAATTACTTAAAATAGATTTGAGAAAGTGAGTTTATACTACAATATTTCTATAATTTGGAGCACATATTATCAATACCTTATGCTTTGAATAATAATTATGAAATTATACCATTCTCCTTCCTTTATCTTCTGTAGCTTTTCCATTCAGAAACATATATATTTAATTGAAGGCAAAAGGCTACACTTGAAGTAACCTGGCAGACAGGAACCAAATGTAATATATTTTGTGTTTAAAGGACTTGAAACTTTTTTTATGGCCATTAATGATATTTCCAAGTTTTTACTGTTAAATACAGTTGTAAGAAATCTTTGACACTAACATCAAACTAAGAATGAAAAATTGTTACACTTACCTCTGATCTCCTCCCTCTGTTCAAATAAGTACAGACTGGGCTGAAAGCACCACTCCCACAAACATACAAATGCGTGCGGTTGAAAGCCTGAATTACACGGACGAAATTCCCGCAGCCATGCTAAAACAATAGGTAAATAAGCGGTTAGTAACAGAATGACTTTTATAGCTATTTCTAAGTATTACTGTGATACTTTGTTATACATTTTCCTTTCTGCCCTAACTTTTTAATTATTGTTAGGAGATAACATGGTGTATTTTAGGAGGAAGGTAGTTTACCAGATAATGAGTAAAATGATATGTCTCTCCTATTTCAGTATTTATATACTGGGCACCTTTTTATGTTCTGAAACTTTATGAGCTTACTCTTTATCTGAGAAAGTTTAGAAATTGAAAGGTACACCAAATTGTTTTCTCAAATTTTCCTCAAAACATTACACATACACACACGCACCCTCACATATCATATAAACATGTTTTGAATGAACTTGTGTTTATAGAAGGTCCATATTATCATTAGTTACAATTGCAAACACTATTGACCTTCATAATTGGTGAATAAAGCAAACCTTAAACAAAATGCCAGCATTATTGCTTTCTATGAAAAATAATGGAATCCTGATCTCTCTGCTCTTGATACCCTAAAATACTCTCCTCTCCCCCAAAACTCCTTTCTCACCTGTTCCCAATCCAACCATTGGAAAGGCTGTCATTTATTCACTCAATGAAATGCAAAATATGGTAATTATAAGTTGACTATGACTTTGCAGAAATACATAAACATGGTCAGCACCAAATGCAGATCTCTGTGACTGAATTAACCATTGCATGTTCTACACTTGCAGGGTCACTATCCTTTGCTGACTACACATTAATCAAGCCTGAGGTTGAATGTGGTTCCCTTCACAAAGTCATTGATCTAGCAAAGAACATTATTAAAAATAATGTTAGAAATTAGAGACAAAAGTTTTTATAAAGAAATATGTCAAAATCTAACAGGGGTTTCCCCATGGGTGGTCATACAGTGTATATTTTTTTCTCTTCTAGGTACCATGTATTTTACTAAATTTTTATAATGCACATTTATTGTTTATATTATTAGAAAAGTAAAAAAAACTTTTCTAAAATAGAAATTTAAAGTCAATATTATTTTATATTTTCTCATCATTTTTCCCTTTTATACTCATTGTTACTTGCCAGCAAATATATGTTTATTTTCATATGTAATGTTTCTATTATGGATTTATATTATCAAATCATCAATCACCAACTCTGCTGTTAAATAAATTTATCCTTACAGACCAGACTATATACTTTATTTTTATTTTAAGACATTAAGGATTTTTGTTAAATATATAGTGTCACTGTATCTTGACACCTGTTTATAGAGGTACCTGGAAATTGACTACATAACTGCAGATGAAATGTGTTTCTCTGGAGAAAAAAGCATAGATGAAGTACGGTGTATATATAGTATGCCTATGTTAAGGGCATCTGTGAGCAATGACACTTGTGTTTATTGTTTTCACATCCAAGTCCAGTCATTCTGGGATTCTGCATATAACATTTATAATATGTTTATATCAACATATTTGTTATATATATGCTTATTATGGTTAATATTTTTGAAAATTTATTATGTGCTAGACATCAGAATAATTTTATATACTTAACCCCTTTTACTTCCCAGGAAGCTTGATTTTTTACATTTATAGATCACATTTATTGAGCAAACTATATGTACTTAGGCACTTTATATTCATTCAGTTTTTTCAACTCAACTCCTTTTAGAAAACAAAAGCTTAGATCTTGTTTAGTTAACTCACCTGAGGTCATGTAGCTAGAAACAGGTAAAGCAGATTTTCAAACACAGACGTGTTTTACATTGAATCTTGTACTTTTAACCACTTTATAATTTGTCATTGGGTGAGAATTCCACAGTTGTTAGAGGGAAGTTTTTATAACAATTATTAATATTTACAGAGTTCTTAATCCTTTGATGTTAGTTGTTTTTAATCCTCCCAGCAATGTTCCAATTAAAGTATTCAGTCCCATTTTAGTGATGAGGAAATTGAGTCCTCAAAAATGTTAAATGAAGTGCTCTAGGTTGAATAAATAACTCTGGGTCTTGAATCATGGCTACCCTCCACCAAGAAGACTAATTCCCACACTATCTGATGCTTTACTGTGCTCCTCCAAAGCTTCCCCGAAGAGAAAAACATGAAAGGAAAAATAAATTGATTGCTTTAATTATTGAAAATCATTTTCTAGGTCCCTTCCATTTCCATTGTGCTTAGTTTCTGTCCACATTATTTCTGTCCTAGACCACTGCAGTTGTGTCAATTCCATCCAGAAAATATTTATTTAATGAACTCATTCTGTGAAAGCACTGTATATGGTGCTAGCAATACTGAAATGAATAGATTCAATTCCTGTTTTCAGAGAAAGGGGAGTATAATACATCAGGTTGTAGTAGATGCTATAATAGGGTTATATTTTTCAAAGTGTGCTATAGAAAGAAAGAGGACATGAGTAATACTGAAGTGGGTGTAATGGTTTGAGAGTGGATGTCATTTGAGCTGGAACTTGCAGAATAAGCTAGAGATTCTGACAGGCAAAAGCAGAAAACACAGCATGAACAGAAAAACTGGAGGCATAATAGTGCAGGATTTAGTTGGGGATTAGTGCCTAGAGAGGACAGAGGATTATTGTGTGATGAAACCAGAGAGGCAATTAGAACTGGACTATCATCATGCCATAGCATGATGGGCAGCAGAGAGTGAATTTAAGTATACAGATCTCAGAGCCAGACGACCTGGGTTCAAACTCTGGCTTTATCTTTTACTAGCTGTTTGAACTTGAGATATTTACTTAGCCTCTCTGTGCTTCAATCTTTTTATCTGTAAATGGTGATGATAATATCTGTTGTAAGCAGTATACTACTGAAGCACTTGGAAGAGTGTCTGGCACATAATAAATATACCCAGTGTTAGGTATTAGATTCTTTCATATATATTTTCAGTTCCAATTGTCAGTACAAACCCTGTGTAATGGACAGGGAATTTGTCCTGCATAGAGATTAGTACAGGTCCTGACCACAGTAGACATCCATAAAAGGTCTGCGAAATGAGACATCAGTGAAATTCAATACCATGGATGCTTTCTTTTTATTGCTTAATTCTCTTTCAAAACTATTTCAAAGTACAATGCTAAATGAAAAATCAAGCTGCTAACATTATGCAGAATGTAATACCATTTTATGTATATACATATATATGTCATATATTAAAATGCTGGAAGAATATACCCCCAATTTTTAAGTTATTATGTTTGGGTAGTATAATTTATTTTATTTACTTAACAGTGTGTGCTTACTATGTGCTATGTACTGTTCTAAGCTCTCTACAAATATTAATTCACTAATCCTCTTAATAACCCAATAAGGTAGGTTTTATGAGTAGCCCATTACACATTTAAGAAAAATGAGGCACAGAGAGGTTAAGTCTCCAGGGTCAGAGAGCTAATAAGAGACTGTTTTCTGTTGCTCTCTGCATGCTTTTCTAGGCCTTCAAAAATTTCTGTGTTAACAGGTATTATTTATATAATTTTAAAATAGATGTTTTAAAATAATATATCCTGGAGCTCAGATTAATAGGGCTTTAAAAATATTGACTCTTCATGGTCCATACTATGCAATGGAAAAAAAAAAAACTTCTTAATTTTTTTTCTTCTTGGCCTATACTTCTTGGTCTGGGGAATATATCAAGGTATTTTGATAAATGTATTCCTAAAGAAAATATGTTTTCAAAGAGTTTAGGATCCTCTGGTCACAGAAACAGGGAAATTGATATTCTACAATTAATAAATCAAGTTTGACATTGTGTGTATGTAATGCATATAGGTATAAATATATGTAACCATGCTTAATTTTTCAATGATCTCATACAGTATTTACTTAGCACATTCATTATGCTCTATCTCATTGGATATGTTTGACAGCATGTGTTATTGTTTAAGCTTAATTTATTTAGCATATGAATAAAATATTAATGTTCAGAAATAAATAGAGCATGTAGGAATGTGAATAAATAGGGGCAAAAAGGGAAATTGTGGGGTAAGTTACACTCTCTTAACTGAGGCAGACAATAAGCTATATTCGCACCATGATAATTTACTTTCCTGATAAACATTAATTTATTATATAGTATTATGATACACATTACCTGGGATCAAATTTTAAATTATATTGAATTATTTTCTAATAATTGAGTATTATTTTTATAACTTTAATTAAAGTTTGATATAAGTAAAAAATCTAAAGGAATAAGATATGTTTGATTCTATGGGTTTTTTTCAATTGTTATAGAAATATAAAATTTGTCACTAATTTATGCTTTTCTTAGTAGAAGATTAATATAATATTTAAAAGTAAAAAAATTAATTTAACGAAAATATACCTTTAAAAATTTTGCATAATTAATTTATTATAAACTTATTAATCTAAAGGTATTAAAAACTCAGTATCCACTGTGTCCTACCCCCAACCTGAGAAAAGTACTTGGAATAGATTCCCATGCTTACTGCTTCCATCTCCATTTTTCCAGATCTTGTTGAAATTTCATGAAGTGCCTAGATACAGATCTGGGCACTGGATCCAATCACTAAAAATGCAGTGAAATAAGTTCTAGAGTGTTTCAGGTGAACGCACAGGGAAGGGCAGCTAGCCCAGTCCTGGGTAGCAAGAAAGGACTCTCCAGAGAGGTGACATCTGCACTGTTATTTGAAAGGATGAGTAGATGATTCCCAGGTTAAAAAGATGGGAAGATAATTCAACAAGAAGAGAATCACATGTAGCCTGTACCAAAGGCTGAAAGAGAGAAAGGATACAACTTATTTGAATTTCAGTATTATTGAACTAGAATAAGGGGAAAAGTTAACATAAGACCTAGCAGAGTTGCCACCAAATCTATCAAACCTTTCCTAAATATCCCAGGTGCAGTGAATTTTTTCTTTGTCTTTTGTGTGTATTCTCAGCATTTATCATATTCTCCCCGGAGAAGTGGCATGTTTTATCAACAAAGAGCAAAAAGATCTAGAGCCATATGTGCCTGAGTCGGACAGAGGCCTCCCACTTGCAGGCAGCGCAGCTCTGGGTAAGTTCCTTACTCTCTTAGTGATTCAGTTTATCTATCTTAAAAATGTGGATGACGACAATAATGTCCATCTTGCAGCATCATCATGAGGATTAAAATAAAACACTTAGAATAGCACCTGGCCCATTCCATTAAGTGTTGGCTAGTATTAGTTGGTAATTATTGTATATATGTCTCATCATCCCCAGTATATTGTGAAGACTCTTAAAGGTAGGAACTCCACCTTATTTACCTCTGGTTCCTTCACTTCAATTAACTGATTTGTACAAATTAAAATATTCAGTTCCTGCATTTTAAAAAATGAAATATTAAGTAATGAGATGATATTTATTCCAAAAAAGCTAAGAGATTCTTAAATATTTAGTTTCATTGAGAAGTGTAATTAAAATGTTGTTCTATAGAACTTCTATTTAGCATCATTTTTCTGCCACTGGTATCCTGATTAAAGGACACTTGTTTTTAAGTACCTCACATGCCTTAAGCAAGATGAATTTGTCAACATTCTCTTCTCTTGCATAGACAGAGCATAAATTTGAAAGTTAGTTTGATTATTATTTCCCAGGATCCAACAGCGTTGGCTGTACTACAAGAGAGCCCACTACCAGTTACCTCTGACTGGACGTGTGGCAGAATATAAAGATATCCATGAATGATATTACAGCATGACAAAACTATGTGAAAACATAAGCATGTGCTGAAGATTTCATCTAATGACGTTTAATTATAAGAAAGCAAATAACAGAGCATTTCTACTTTGTCAAAGGGAGAAAGAAATCAAATGACTTGGCTAAGACTCTTCAGAAAATCAGCAACAATTTTTGGAAAGAGAATGTGCAAAGGTATCAAATCCTATATATTCTGCCTGTGGCAGTTTGTATGAATGGGACACAGAAATTTTTTAAACAAAGAACAATTAAATCCAGTAATTACAACCACAGGATATTATCGAGGCAAAAGTCGAGACATGATCGCATAAACATCAATGGGAAAAATCTCTACATTAGAGGATGAAAGAGAGTAGTTTAATTCATGCAAAATTATTGAAATCATAGCTTCAGGGGACCAAAAAAAAAGTGCCTTTTCCACTGCATTATACTTCATTCTGCTATTGGTTCCCTAGAAAGCAATTGTAATGTACTCTTTTGAATGTTTCTTTCACATTTTTCTGGATTTTTTTCCTTTTCGATTGTGGTCCAACAGATCCTGTGGGTAGCAAATATACTTCTGTGAGCTCCTTTTGCCCATTTAAAATTTTCTCTTATAAGGTGAATTATGAAACTAAAACGATGAAACCCTGAGCTGAGTCACTCCTGGTGAGCACTCCTGCCAAAACACCCTCTGGTGAGACCCAGAGATCTGCACTCCAGAGTCTGCTGCGGTCCTGCCTTAAGCCAGCCTTTTTCAGAACTTTGTACCTGGACTGCTAAGAATCAATAAAGTATAAAAGTTTCATTTCTACACTTCTTCTTCCACAAGGAAGAAGTTTGAGACAAGAAGGTGAAATGACATTTAAGCTTCATTATAAACATTAAATGACTTGTGCACATTAAAGAGCTGTTCCATGTATTTTTTATAATATTCAAGAATAATTTAATGTGCCAGCTTCATAAAGTCATTTGTAGAAATCAATATAGATTTATTCCTTGATTCTTTATATGGAATCTTTATATGGAATACATTTTGTAAAAGTATTGCACACTGAACATTTACTGATATTTGTATCTGCCTTGATTTTTGTTTCTGTGGTTATTTTTAATTAACAAAGATAACAGCCATTACTGGTGATTTATGCTTCTGGAATGTGCTGGCTAACCACTACCCTTTTGACGAGAATCTTTCTTTGGAAAAGCCCACATGGTATCTGGGAGCTACTCCAGACACTTGAATTATCATTATTTCAGCAGCCTGCTGAGAATTCTGCAGGTTGGATCCACTTTGAACAGGGGTTATTACTGAAATCCATCATGAAAAGTGTCAGGGTTCAATAATGAAAGCAAAGCAGGAAATTTTTACCCAGTCAGGAATTCCTACGTTACAGTGTTTAAGAGTTCCAATCACTTTGCATTTACATTTCTTACTATGTGTCCAGCCGAGGATTCAAAACACCAATACCCTTTGTCTCATTCTTGGATGCACTCAAAGTACATGAATTCAAAGACCAAATATTTAAGTTTTGGATTTTTTTAAGCACTCACTGTGGGATCTTTGCCAGCCATTTTGCACTCTTCAACTTTGATTGCAGATGCTGGCCAGAAAACCTGCTCAGAAAGGAAAATAAAGGTTGCATCATCTCGCTTGTATATATGACAGCTCAGTACTCTTCATTTACTTTATGCTAACAGATTTCTTTAAGTTAATTCTATATTTATATTTCAAATTTCTTCTTTCATTTTATGAACTCAAGTTAATAAAGATTTTATTACTTTATTATAACAATTATGTTTTTGTTTCTTCCATGAATTTTTCCTTCAACAATTCTTTCTATAATATGTGCTCATTTACTAATGGTACAATTTTAAAATAAGGAAAATATTGATATGCACCATATAATGTATATTTCCCTCCCTCTGATTTATAGTACACTTTTCACAACTGCTTATATCACAATGAATTTATGTTTATACTGCTATCTTGGGGGTTTTTTGGTAAACTACACAGCTAGGCTGGTAAATTTACTGCAAACTAGGTACTTCAACAGCTAAAATAACCTGGATAAAGATTCTCTCTCTCTGACATACTGTGCTAGCATGCTAAGTCATTGCAGCCTTGGGTCAGGTCTGATGGAGATGATTTTTTTTTTCATTGTCAGCCTGTAGCTCATTGTTAAAATAATAAATTCAGATGTGTTCTTGCTGTAATAAATTTATAATTAATTTACTTTTATTTCTTTACTTTAATGAAGCTCAATTTATTTCCTTGCTGTGACATAGAATGATAAATATAGTTAACCCTTGAACAACTCAGAGGTTAGGGACACTGACCCTATATTCCAGTTCCACATCCAAAGATTCAACCAACCATGTATCATGTAGTACTGTAGTATTTACAACCAAAAAGAATCTGCATATAAGTGGAGCCGTGCAGTTCAAATCCCTGTTGTATAGGCCACATTTTTTCAAAGAACACTGCATTTAATAATTGTGTTCTTTTCAAGGCCTTCTTGGTTTATGTACAGATGACAAGGTACGTTGTCCTTTAATCTGACCATTTTTCATGCTATACTCCATGCTTCTCCTTTTCCCTTTCGATGTATGTATACACGGGAAGTATTTTCTCACTTAGCTTCAAGTTTTAGATGGCTAAAAACTATGAAACTAGACATGGAGAAATGAATTGATTATATTTTCAGTCCTTGAAATAAGTAGTAATTTCCAACTATTTATTGATATATGACCTGTATTTTCTATTGTTCTAATGAAGTACATAATTTTTTCATTGTATTTGAAACTTTTAAAGAAAAAAGACACCTAGGAATTTAGCATTTCCCTCATGAAAATGATAAACTTACACTCAAAGGTTCTTGACTTATGTTGTTAATATTCAAGGAAAGAATGTGATCTTTGCTGCCCACATATATCCGGTCCTGATCTTCATCCATTACTAATATCCTGTAGTCTAAAGGGTGGTGAAATAGGCTGAAGTATTCAGAGGTCTTGGTTTCTCGAAGCTCTGAAATAGTGAATAGCACAAGTGAAAATTGAGTATCTTGATTCCATTATTTTAATGAAAATTATATATGGAAATATTTACCAAAAAATTCAAAATATATTTTCCTCTTACAATAAATTAATTTTAAAACAGTTATGTTAGTGGATATTTTTATTTATTTCCTCTATGCTGAATTAAAACATAAATAAATTCATAAATGCAATGTTAAAGTTTATAGTAGTACTACTTGATTACAAAATTATTCACATTTTGCTAGGACCTCAACTCAGTTGTTTACTGTTTGTCATCAGCTCAAAGCTTGTTAAAATAAATCACCCAAAAAAATATAGCAAGTGATTAGATTGAACAAAAAACAAAAGCAATGATGGTGTGAATGTCTTCCTAGACTCTCTTAATATTTTATTGTTGGACTCAATACGTTCATCATTTTAGGGTTGTTGTTTCCTACCCTGAATATTTACCTTACTTCCTCAACGTAATTCTAACTAGTTTAATAAATTTTTCTATAAATTACTTGGATGTTGTTCAGGAAAAAAGTTAGCCTCTTCTAGACCAGAGGTTGTTGCTGAAGTAGGGAAAAAAATCCAAGAGCTCAGAACATGAGAGAGAACATAAAATGCAACAAATGTCACTCAAAGTTTGGAGAAGACACATTCTCCTTTGATTCTGCCTAAAATCCAGGGTGTTTAATAAAGCTTGCTTTTCATCCTATGGAGGATATTCATGGCTGCATAATTTTCCTGTAAAACATCATTTGTAGGGTGCTGGTTGGGTGCAGAATAGATATTCAACAAATACCTCATGAATAAATAACTCTCCAGTGAAATACACAGATTAAAGAAGTAAAATATGACTGAGTTTGTGGCATCTGGGGCACAGCCACTGGAGTCTGAATGCTGGCTCTACCATTTCATTTATATATGTACTTGGCCAGTGCCTTTATTCCTCTAGACTCCAGTGTCTTCATCTTTAAAGTCAGGATAATAATAGTCCCTACATCATAGGGGTATTGTGAGGTTTAAATTGTTAATATACATCAAGAGCTTAAAAGAGTACCTGTCTCACAGTGACATGGGTTACATGGGTTACCTATTATTATGACTTGGGACAAGACTTCAAGCTTCAGCCAGACAAGTAAGAAGAACAATTCTTTACACAGGGAGAAAATATGGAAGACTAAATTGTCTGATTTATATGTATTAATATATTTAATATTTCTTTTTTTCACATGTAGAATCTACTCAAATTATTTGAGCAGGACAGTAAAATAATAAATCATATTTAAGAATAATAATTTGGTGTACAGGATAATTTGGGGGCATATGAGACTGGAAAACTAAGAGATGCTCTTCCAGATATGATGATGATAAAGACCTGATTTGCCAGAAATAGAAAGGAAGAGAGGAGTTGACGTGAGGGTCACTTAAAGGATTTGGAATGATTTTTATATGAAGTTGGTCTTTGGGTAAAAGGAAGAGGTAATTATCTTCCAAAGATGTAAACTGAGAACAGGATAAATGAACATGGCCTTTATTAATTTTGAGAGATTCAAAATGGAAATTTCTTTGGTAAAGAGATTACTTGAGTGTTGATAGATTAAATTCAAGTAAAAGTGGAAATGTCCCACAAGCATGTAAAATTAGATAACTAATTTGTCATTAGAAATATCAAATCTGCAGGAAATGATTTCCAGTTCTTCTCATGGATGATATGAAGTTCAGAGAGTAGACAGCTCTCAGGAAGCTCTGAGGAAGAGAAAGTCTAAAGTGAAAAGCAAAACACAGAGATGCATTGATCATTAGATCCAAAAAGAGTATCTCTGTAATTGAAACTCAAAGTGAGTCATGATGTACAGGCAGCAGTGGAGAGAGTACAGAATTGGAGTCAGACAGTTCTGAGTTGAAATCCCAGTTTCATCACTTACTAATCTGTTAGTTTAAGAAAACTACCTTGTTTCTCCCAGGTTTCGATTTTCTCATCTATAAATTGGTTATGTTAATACATAGCTCAAAGGATGTTCCACCAGCACACAGTAGATCAGTGTGCTCCTTTTGGCAGGAGAGATTACTGACCCTCTGTCTAACAGATATTTTCTTTCTCTTTCCTGTTGGCAGGGAACCATATGCCAACCATAGTGGATCCCCCAGCAAGTGAGTGACTAAAAATATGACCATGTGACTAGCTCTGGCCGATGAGATTTAGAGGGAAGCCTTCTGCAAGGTTACTAGAAGAGGTTTCTTGGGTCTTAAAAATGGCACAAAAAAGAGGTGATTTCTTTCTCTGCCTCTGGACATTGGTAAGTGAGCATATAATACTTTCAGCAGTTGCTGTTACCAAAAAGATTGCTATCTGAGAATGGCAAGCAGAAATTTAGGAAAAATGCTGAGTTCTATAAGAAATAATTCAACGTCTACACTAACCCTACAACTGCTCTACTACAGGATTACTTCTGTTATATATGATTTTTTTAAAAAAATCCTTGCTTTTTTTTAGGCACCTTGAATTGAGGTTTTCATTTCCTGTTGTTTAAACCCTTACTAACTGATCATATCTGACAATGTCTCTCCAGTGTTCACAGCCTTCTCACTCTTTCTACCATGGTTTGTTTAGTCTGGCTATTTAAAAAAAAAAAATTTTTTTTTTTTTTGCCTTCTCTTCCCAATGTATATTGAAATAAAACCAAGAGTGTGAATTGGGCTGGGAAAACAGTCTCAACTAAATTTTACTTGCAAGTAACAAGCAATGGCAGTTCTCCTCTTTACCTGTTTCGTTAGAAAATAATCAATTTCTTGCATTAATTCAAATACCAGAGGGAGCAATAACTGCATTAACTTAAGACCTTTCTGGTCCAAGGATTTAATCTCTTTTTCTGGGCCATAAAGCTATCTTCAAATTTAATTACCTATAGCTCATTGATAGCTGACAGCTGTTAACCAAGGAAGATTTACTTTAGAAGTGCCTCTGTTAGAAGCCAAGAAGCTAAGGCTATTTTTTAAAATACTATTTAAATTGCTGGTAGTTAGCCATAGCTGAACTCTGGGGCTTGGGAAAAACAAAAAAATCAAAATGAACTTTTTTTTTTTCTTAAAGAATAAAGAGATGAGTTCAAAGCATCCAGGATTTTTATCTATAAAGAGAATGACTGAATAATCCATCATTTCTGGTTTAATGAAGATCCAACTTAAGTCAATGAATGATTCAATAATTTGGCTACAGTTAGAGAAAATGACTGATTTAATGATTTGGCTACAGTGAGAGAAGGAACTCACAATTATTGGTCTCTCATCTAAACAAGTCACAGAATGGCACTGTCCTACATTTCTTTACATCTTAATAATTATGTCATTCTTTTCACAGCATTGGAGGTACAGCTAGTTGAGCTGTTTCTCCGGACATGCTCAACTGACTGAGAAGGAACTTTGAGAGTATGCAGTATTAGAAAATGCAGCGGGCCCCACAAAGGGCAGTGTAGGTCTCTAAATCCTTGGGAAAATCTCCTGGGAAACAGTATTAAAAAAAAATACTACATGCTTCTATCCTGAAATCCACATTACTGTAGCGTTCTAGGGTGGAAAATTACTGTAATGCCTTCCATGGCAGTGTTCCCTGAGGGAATATTTGTAGCATGATATGCTTACCTGAAATTCATGTATTGACATGGGCTTATCTTTGTATGGAAACTATTGTGAGCCTTGAGAATTTAACCAGGGCTGGGAGAAAAATAAGTTCCCCCCAAATATAAACCCTTGCAATATAAGCTTCTGGGACCACTTGAATATAGTCAACACACTGCTATAGCAATTACAACATAGTTTAATAAACAGAATATATTGTCTGTAATTAACACTCTATCCCTAACCATATTAAGAATTAACCTTTGCTCTCTGTTAGTGATCTTAAGATTTCTGAGGTGACTAAGTCAGTAAGAACTTATTAATGTGCTCGAAAAATGTGATCTTGGTGGAGGAAGGTGGAGAGTCTAGAGTTCTCTTTTATGAATAATATATATCTGTTAAACTACTGATTAGGGAACACATTCCCTCAGAATACTATATTATCTTTGGCCTTTTATAAGTTTCAAAAACAAGCAAAAGATTACTTGATTGAAAATCAATCCCCAGGGGTCTCTTTATGAGAAGCATATGCAATGGTGGCTTATTAATTATATTTAAAGTTCATGATGTGCTATTAATTAATTAATTAATTAGGGTTTTTTTGGCATTACTTCAATATTTTATTTTTAGGGACCACAAGATGAGTTAAGAAGTTCTGGAAAATATTGGAGAGGCAGGATCCTTACCACAAAGGCTTTGAGTACCAACATAAGAGGCTTCTACTTTGTTCTAAGGACATTTGTGAGCCTTGGGAAGCTACAAAGCAGGAAAGCAACAAGGTCATCTTCTGCCATCAGACACTATTTATTAAATAGCAAAATTAATGAAGACCAAGTGTCTACCACACCTGAAGACTGTCCCATCCCCAGGGCCCCTGCTGTGAAGGTTGTCACAGAGAGAGAAAGCATGGTTTGGAAATCAAGGTATGTTAATGTCATGGGCCCTGTCACAGAGCAGCTACTCAGAATAGATGTGTGGAAGGAGTGCAGGAATAACCAAGTGAGTGAGTGTGCCCCAGAGGGTGTGGAGAAAAGGGAACCCTCTTGCACTGTTGGTGCCAATGTAAATTGATCCAGCCACTATGGAGAACAGTATGGAGATTCCTTAAAAAAACTAAAAATAGAACTACTATATGACCCAGGAATCCCACTACTGGGCTTTTACCCTGAGAAAACCATAATTCAAAAGGACACATGTACCCCAATATGCTATTAATTTATATATTCAATACATCTTTATTAAGCCCTTATCAAGTCAGGCTAGACATCTGCTCACAAAACAGGACACTAATATGAACATACCAGGCCCCTACGACAATTCCAAATTTTGCCTTACATTCTGTTATTTTGTTTGGCTAAGCCCACCATGACAGTTTTCTCACCATAA